GTATGAAAGCCATATTGACAAGAACTGGACTGGATTGTGCAGTATGTGTTTAATTAAAACTGGGGACTACATTTCCCAGAATTCCCTTCCCTGTATGGTTCAGACTGAAAGTTGGCCCAGGAAAGAATTGTGAAATTTGTCAGGTAGAGGTAAAACCAAAGTCATCAAGGACTCCACACCAGCTTTCCTCCTGCCTCACTGACCCACCCACCAGGGGCCTCCCGCAGACCCACAGAGCCCATAACTATTCAGAGGCCTGAGATCCCCCAAAGATTTCATTCACTATGCATCTGGGAACTGTAAGTGATGGGTCAGGCTGGACTTCACAAATTTCCTGAAAGTGCCCACTTGTTCACTCACATGGTGCTTTAGGCAGATTAGTTACTCTCAGACCTGCATTTTCCCTTTTGTTTCCCAGATCTCCTCTGTGTTAGATCAAATTTATATTAACTCCCTTATTTCCACATATACTTATAGGGACTGTTTTCTTGACTGATCAAGGTAACATGAACACAAAACCGTGGTTTTGCTGTTCATTTTCTTCACAATCTTTTTTTTTTTTTAAAGGAGAATCATTGGAAGGTTTTATTTATTTATTTATTTATTTATTTATTTATTTTTAAAGAGAGAGTGAGAGAGGAGAGAGAGAGAATTTTTTAATATTTTATTTTCTTTTTAGTTCTCGGCGGACACAACATCTTTGTTGGTATGTGGTGCTGAGGATCGAACCCAGGCTGCACGCATGCCAGCCGAGCGCACTACCGCTTGAGCCACATCCCCAGCCCCTCTTCACAATCTTTAAAAAGAATCCAAAACACATATACAGTAATGTGGGAGACCAACCTTACACGTGACTGAGTCACACTCCCTGGCTGGGTGCTGAGGCGCTCAGTCACAGAAATGTGCGCGGTGTCTCGTGCATGAGTGTGTCTTGCTACAGCCCCAGGGGTGAAGCTACGCTCACCTGTTCCTTTGTAATATAACCCCTTGCCCTGTTTAGGATAGAATCTTCCATGGAAGTGCCTTGTGTGTGTCCCCTTCTCTTACTGTGCCCTTGGGTGTGGCCTACCCAGGTGTCAGTCAACCTGCTGAAAGTGGACATTATGAAGATACTCAGCCCCCTGAAACCTGACCCCTTGCTTCATTTGAATAGCTTCCCTCAATAAAAGGGGTCAGCCCATGCTCTCGCTCTCTCTCTTTCTGTGGACCCTTAAGACAGAGGAGCCGTCACAGCGACCCCAAAGAAAAAGGTATTTGTGTCTCTTGTGTGGTTATTTTGTGCAGCCCAGTTAGCCCAGTTTAACTGGAGTGACTCCTGAGCCTTTTAGTTGCAGGAACAGAAACCCGGCACAATAATACATTATGAAATTGTGGCTAACCTATGAAAGTAACAATCAAACAGGAAATCTGGACTGGATGAAGCCTGTTCCCCTAGTAATAACTGTTCTATGGGTTCCACATCCACTAAGTGGATTAAATGAAATTACAGAGTACTCCTTGTTAAGAGACTGCCACCAGGGGGCAAAGAAAATGTAATACAAACTAATAACAGCAACAGTTATTTATTTAGCACCCAATATATAAGCATTAGTGTACTTTGCAGTTTATTCAAGCTATCTTTTATCTCTGAGAATCTTACAAGTTAGATATTTATATCCTTATTTTATTGAGAATTGACAAATGCCCAGAGAGTGAAAGTTACCTGCCCAAGTCATCCTGCTGAGTCTATCCTAGAACTCATCTGCAAAGTTAGTGCTCCCTCTAGGAAGACATACTGGTGTATACCTCATATACATTTTACTAACACATCTCTCTGGATTTGTGTCCTTTGTGAGCCCTCCTCCTCAGTTCCATGTCTTATGCTAACCTCTACTTGTCTTATTGCTTAGAAATCATACACTGTTTTGTCTTTTTTTAAACCTCTTCCCAGAGGGAGGTTTTCACCCAGGAAAAGTTCTAGTGAGCAAATTATTGACAAATATGCTCTAGTGTTTTCATTTTCTTAGAATTTTTATTGTCTTAGACTTGAAATGTATTCATGAATCCAACCAGTATTTACTCTTTCTGATCAGCTTATAGATGATTCTGTCCCAATATTGAAGCAGTAAAGAAAGATAAGATTCCACCAACCATGTCTCTGATGGGCTTTCTCTACATGGTATTTTAAATAAGAGGATGCATTCAGGGCCTGTGGATACAGCTCAGTTGGTAGAGTGCTTGCCTTGTATGCATGAGGCATTGGGTTCTAATCCCCAGCATCACCCCACCACACACACACACAAAAAGGTGGTGCACTATAAGATAGCCATTCTGCTATTGGACAGATAATTAAAATTTCATTCTTCTGAATTCCTTTTTCATATTTTAACTTGCTATATCCTCTACACTATAGTCAATTCATTTTGGTCACATGCTGGTTCTTACAATGTTTACCCCCTCTTCTTTCCTATCTCCATGGTGGCTTAGGAGTTCAGGCCTCAAGCAGAATCCATGGGAATATATGTCAAGATTATAAACAACTCACTGATGCACCAATGTTGTCAAATGCTGCCATTGGTTGGTTGCTTTTCTGCACACATGATAACATAGACAGTGAGCATCTTGAGGCTAAGCCTGTGTTTTCATGCAAGTATCCTTTGCATCTATCTAGCTTAGTGTATGACACAAAGTAGTGTTAATGATGAGGTGTTGAATAAATGAATTCCTATGCTACTTCTTTAAACCTTTGTTTAATTAAGTTAGTGAAGAACTATTATTGAGCACTTAGGTATTGGACACCACACAAAAGCTGTCAAGAAACAAAACAGACACAAATCCTGCCTCAGACCTGAGTCTGAAATTGCAAAAGTACCTGTAATCTTAGGTCTAGATACTACCACTGCTGAGCCTCACTTCCTTACATCCTATTTACTGGTTGAACAAAAGACCTATTTTATAAAATTATCTATGTAGACTAACTGAAAAGTTAAGATCATAAATTGTTCTTAAAATTCTGAATACTACTAAATAAATGTTCTTCTTCATTCAAAAGCATTTCCATTTCTCCAATGAAAACCACATGAAGAATTCAGCAACTCTAGAATTATTGAATTTTTAATCCAGATGTCTACTATATAGTATAACTTCCTTTAAAGCATATTTTACATTTGACATCCTCTATGGGATCTAGTGCATTTTTAAAAATAGCATTCTATAAATGAATTAATGCAATAGAAATATTAATCACCAAAGATTCTAACCTGAATAGCATTTAGGAGATCCAAGAATCCCATGAAATTATATGCAAAACTGTGTGCTTGCAGGCCATATTAGAGAGGTCTTTGGTTTTATCTGTCTCAAAGAGATCTATTATCCAAAATTATTTCTTCACTTAGATGTATTAACTTTTGCCAGCCACATTACTATGGTTTAGACTCAGAATCTAAAGCTTTTTTTATAAGAAGCGAGTATTGAATGCAACAAAATTTTACAGAACCTTTTTTCTCACACACCATTAAACTTAATACATAATCATTATATATATAATCTCAAATCAGTATTTAATACTTTAGTGACTTAATATTTTATATGCTGGCAAATATGATTTAGAAATATATTTTATTGACTTTAGGGAAAAGATTCCATGAGATTAGAACTGACAGGGCTTTAGTAGTTTAGTGTGTGTATATTTACACATACACACACATCCATACATGTAAAGAAATGTCTAGTGAATCATCTATTATATTCCAGCTGGGTTTTCATTTATTCCTAACAATAAAATTACTGTCCTTTTAAAAAATGATGACACATAAAGAAAACTTCATAAAAATTGTTTAGTAAGCAGTTTCCTCAGGGATTTTCCACTGACTATTGAAATAAACAGTTTTCAAATGCTCCAGATGGAGAACGAAATATACTTTTTAAACCACAAGAATACCTCTAAATTTTAATGACAATTTTCCCCCCTTTGGAAATTTTATATCTCTCTCAATGCATTAAGCCTAATATATAGAGTCAATCAATATTTGTCTGAGCAGTTATTTTATTTTTCTGAATAAAATTATTTTTACTTTGAGAATGGGTGCTAATTCTTATCTCAACATATGGAAAAGATTATTTTCTCAGATACAGACATAAGGAAATTAAAAGATTAAAATCATCATTCACAGTAGAAATTCACTTTACAATATGAAAATTTTAATGTAGCATGATCCAAAATGATTATTGCAAAAATACAAAAGTGTTAGTTTCTACCATTAGGAAACAATGCATACATACATAATTCACTCAGCAGAATTGAGTTGCAATTAGTGATAGTGACCAGAAGATGGCGCAGTCCAACTTCCTAAGACTCATTAAGTAAGCCTTTATAATTCAAAATAACTTCAGAGAATTTAAAATTGGCATTTGTTTTTACAAATGATAGTGAAAAATAAGACTTTGCAAAAAATAAGGAATTCAAATTTCTCAAAAGTTTTATGATTAATCACTTATTTACAAATAAATTTTTAAAAAATACTTTGAATAATTTTTTTCTACCCTGTGAACAACAAAGGAAAGATGAGAATTTTAGGATAACAATTACTTAGAATTACCTCAGATTTAAAGTTCTTCCTTTTAGTTCATTTTATATTATGCTAGATTGCTCCATAAACTTTTTACAGCTATAAACCCCACTTTTCACCAAAATATAAACAAGTGTAGTTTTACAACAGGAATTTTACAATTGATAACTTAGGGAGAACATTCTTTAAAGTAAAACTATTTCATTAAAAAGCTTTATTCAAGGCACAGACAATGTTTAAATGCTTCTTTCACTTAATAAATGCTGAATAAAGTCTTTAAATCTAAAATCTACTTATATTGCTGACTAAAAAAAGAAATAGCATTTTTAAGGCCTAGTGATTCACTCATATACTTATTTAAGTACATTAATAGATCTCTGTGTGTATGTGTTTGTGTGTGTGTGTGTTTCATAATTCTAGAAATACTCCAGAAAGGGAGAATGAATAGATACATTACAGACTGTCCTGACTGGGTCTAAAATACAGCCTACTACCAATTATTGAGCTTTTACTGGGAAAGTAGGAAGTATCCCTTATCATCCCTGAAAAAGTATAATCCAAAGATGGCTGAAAAGGCAATGCTGGAACCAACCCAGGTGTTAGGTAGGGTGACACAAAACCAGACAGCCCTCTCCCTGAGGGAGAATATGCCAGTCGTAATGGACTAATCTCTAGTCTAGGATTTAAGCTGTAGAGGTTTGAATCACCTCTGTAAGAAGCAGATGGGGTTTGAAGAGGAGAGAAAGCTGATTTATTACCTAGAGTTCCAAAACCAATTCTAGCTAGACTAAAATTTGAAGCTCTTGAAAAGGCTGTGTTTTCCAGTTTTCTGGAGTATGCTAGATCCCTGGTATCTTGCTTGCGTTCTTTCCCATTTAAGATCTGTTCAATGGCTTGGACCACATCCCCTCTGCAGAACCGCAGAACGCTTTCTAGCCAGGTGAGCCTGTAACGTGGGAAAATCCTGATAAGAATATCAAGAGGATCTCTTGGTCTTGAGGACATCATGGGAAGGCTGGCTCTCACTGCAATGCAGTCTTTAGCCCCCTCACTCTCATTTCCTGATTCCAGATCAGAGGATGATAAGGACCTGGGACTGTCTTCACCTCCTGATTGCTCCCCAGAGTAAGGAGACTGGATGCTAGCATGCTTTTTTGAGTGTTTTGAAGTAGATGACCAGTTGCTTTTTTTCCCAATGACACCATTAGACTTAGAAGATGATCCCAAAGAAAGCTGATGGGATTTAGAGCATGGCTCTTCTTGTCCACTCTGGCATGAGTCACATTGACTCCCCTTTTGTTCTGAGAAAGAGAAAGTAAAAAAAGAATCAAATATAGAAAAACTTCCCAAAACCTATTACCCACTCAAAAATTATACTAGATAAGACCATTCATTTCCTAATAACATATTAGTAATATTTATTCATACTAAACATTTTTAATGGAGTCATTTCAGGATCACAAGGATAGACAACATGTAAATGTATTCGTATTTAAGAATCAATAGGAGAGTGTTGTTACTCAGAGATGTTAACATAACACCAATACTGCACAACATTTGCTCATATGGTTGGTTTGGTATTTGCATAAATATCACGAGTTTTGTTACTATATATTTTTCCCCCATAGTGACACTACATAAAAAGAACTACATATAGGTTAGGTTTAGATAACAAATTTTTATAAAGTAATCTTAGCTTGAAAATGAATACTCTATTTAATTACTAATGCTAAATTTCAATAATTGGTTTCTTAGGGCTGGGGATGTGGCTCAAGCGGTAGCGCGCTCGCCTGGCATGCGTGCGGCCCGGGTTCGATCCTCAGCACCACATACAAACAAAGATGTTGTGTCCGCCGAGAACTAAAAAATAAAATATTAAAAATAAAAATAATTGGTTTCTTATGCTCACATTTCAGGTTCTAATTAAGTCACTTGAATAATGTGGAAAAATAACAAAATCATTAATTTCATTCAAACTTAGGGCAATAATGTCATCTATATCAATCTCAAATCATTCCATATTCATTTTCTGTGAGATGATATGGACTTGGTATTTTTTCTTAATCCTCTGTAAAAAAAAATATATTTTCTTTTTTAATCCCTAAAAAAAAAAACTAAGAAAAGTTTAAAACAACATTTCTTTAAAGAAAATTAAAAATTGCACTACAGCCATTTGTATAGAACCTGAAAGAATCCTATTAAAAACATATCAGGCATTTGCTTCAAATCACACCCCTTCCTCCAATATTAAGTGATTTGCAACCATGATACATAACAAACTCATAGTTTCTTCTGTTTTCTTAAGAAGCAGACCTAAACTCTAAAGTAAAAAATAAATGTTTATCCAAAAGCTAAAATGTGTAAAATTTAGTACTCTGAGGGTCAAAATGCTGTCATGTAATGACAAAAGAAAGGATGGTACTACTGAAAAATCAGACTCTAGTACTAATTTTCAACTCTAAATACAACTTTTCTAATCAAGTCTGCCAAATTCCATTGATCCTCTATTCCATTTTTCTTATAAATGGGATTCACAAAGTATGTCTGCCTTAACATTTAAAGTAGTAAGTATTAAAATTTCATGTCCACAGCAACATAAAAGAATTTTTCATTATTATGTTGTACTCATAGTACAAATATTGGTAAAGAAATACTGATTCTATTTAGTTGCCTTTAAAATACTATGATGCCATTTCTTTCATCTCTGTCCTCTCAACTTCTAAAGCTTGTTTTACTTCTATTGCATTTATCATTTTTATAATATACCTTGTATTATAGAATTGGATACTACATATAATCCACCTTCCTTTGAATATGAGATTCTTTTGTGTAGAAAATATTATTCACTGAATGATTGTTGGTCTTTTGTCCAAAGAATGAATAAATTAAACAATACCTTACTACAGTCAACTGTCAATTTAAAAAGCCATTGGAGTGGCCTTTCAAAATGTGGCTTACTTTCTATAGAGGGTGGCTTACTTTCTATAGAGGGTCGTCTGGGGCAATAAAATAGAATAAAATAATTAGCTACAAACAGAACGCCTGGGAATCAAAAACATTCCACAAATCGGGTTGGGGATGTGGCTCAAGTGGTAGCACGCTCATCTGGCATGAGAGCGGCCCGGGTTCGATCCTCAGCACCACATACAAACAAAGATGTTGTGACAGCCGAGAATAAAAAATAAATAAATATTTAAAAAAATTAAAAAAAAAAACATTCCACAAATCAATGCCATCAGGTGATCTCACTGCCAGTTTCAAGAATTCCAACTTTCACTTTTTCTTATAGTAGTTTTACTTATTTTGTCTATTTTATTTTGTCTACTAAAATAAACTGGACCATATGCAGAAAGTTGGCATGTGTAAAAACACAAAATTATATGCCTCATTTCAATATAGAGATGATCTTTTTCAAAATACATTCTGTGATCTGTTAAGATCTACAATTTTCACAATTCAAGGAGTTCCTAATTAGTAAATTTATTGTATCATTTTGTAATTTCATGTTACAACCTGTTTGGAACATTTTTTAAAAATTTTTTAAAAACTGTAATCTTCACTGCTAGTAGGCCTGTGGAGGGCTATGAATTTCATGGATATACAATGGAATTCACATTAGCAAGAAAAGTTAATTTGGGGTAGCCTTAGTTTTTTTTTTTTTTTTTAAAGTCTGTACAGACATGCACACATATCCTAAAATAGAGGGTATTTGCAAGTAATCTGCAGTCAATAAATAATAGGGGAAAAAATGTAAACTTCCTTGGATAAGAAATCTCCAGCATTGGAGTTGGGGCTGGGCTGTAGCTCCTTGGCAGAGTGCTTGCCTAACACGTGTGAGGTACTGGGTTAAATCCTTAGCACCACGTGAAAATAAACAGATATAGGCATGCTGCCCAACTATAACTACAAAGAATTTTTTTTTTAAAAAAAGAAAGAAATCTCCAATATTAAACTGTGATAGTGCCACCAATGGTTTTGCAATCTGGAAAACCTAAATGTATGTCCTATGGGAAGAAACAAAACTTCAGATACCAAAGCTTTCTACACTTTTGGAGTCGGACAAATAGCTGGTGGAGGATGCTTAAAGAATTAAAGGGGGCTGGGGATGTGGCTCAAGCGGTGGCGCGCCCGCCTGGCATGCATGCGGCCAGGGTTCGATCCTCAACACCACATACCAACAAAGATGTTGTGTCCGCCGAGAACTAAAAAATAAATATTAAAAATTCTCTCTCTCTCTCTCCCCCCCCTCTAAAAAAAGAAGAAGAAGAAGAAGAAGAAGAAGAAGAAGAAGAAGAAGAAGAAGAAGAAGAAGAAGAAGAAAGAGTACTCAATTAAAGGAATGTATTTTTAAAAAAAGAATTAAAGGGAGAGAAAGAGAGAGAAAAAGAGATCGTTTAATAGATCTTCTTTTACCTAGTTCTAGCTGGAGCCAGAGGCTTGCTCCAAAGTTGAAAAAAATGCACTCCCATCAGTGAATTTCCCACGCTAGTTCTAAAGATTAACTGGTTTTATAGTTGAAAAAAAGTATACAGCAAGCTCTAAACACCCCCTCACTATGCTTTTCGTTGAACGCACGCTTGAACGAAGTTCTGTTCAAAGTCACAACAAACTTGTGCAAATGTAATGCCATTCCTAGGGCAAGTCGTCATCTGTTATCACCCACATTTCACCCTTTCATTAACTTTTCCTATCACTTCAGGAAACAAACAGAAAGGCCTTCCAAAGTGAAGGTGCTGGGTCTCTTAACACCCTCATTGACATGCTTGCTATAAAGTCGCTTTGGAGAACTTGAGAGCTTTTTCTGAACAACTTTTCTTTTTTGCCTCTAGGGCGCTACTGGTTTTGTTGTTGTTGTTGTTGTTTTCCTTTCCCGCCCCCCCCCCCAAACTCTTTCTCCATAGCAATTACTTGCAAAAAGCACACCAAAGACCAACTCACCTTGTTTGTCCTCCGCGTCATCTTGCTGGATAACTTCGATAGCCGGGGTTGCCAGACCACTAGCTGGCCTCAAGGCACCCAATTGCTGAGCGGGCACCGCCTTAGGCTCGCCGGCCGCCTGGGAATTCACCGTTCTACCGCGGCTTTTGGACGCCAGAACCTCTGGACCCGAGGCTCGAGGGTACAAGAAACTCTGCGGTCCCCGAGCCTCGCTCTCCTCTTGCGCCTGCTGCCTGCGCAGCGCCACCTGGGCGGCCATCACGCGCTGGCGCTCGGAGATCAGGGTGCACTTGACACACGCGCAGTCCTGCCAGCGGCAGAAGCGCTTGTGGCCCTTGAGCGCCGACACCACACCGTGGTTGCGGCAGCGAGAGCACTTGGGCGTCCGCAGGTAGCCGCTGCCCACTGCGCTCACGCCTCTCTCCAGCCTAGAAACCGGCCGGCAGCCTCCGCTTCCCGCCGTGGCGGCGGCGGCGGCGGCGGCAGCTCGCAGGAAGAGGCCGGAGGGCCGCAGATAAGCTGGTGGAACTGGTATCCCCGAGGGCACCGGTAACGCCGGCGGTGAGGGATGAGGGGTCGCAGCCAGCAGTCCCGGGCCAGGGTGGAGTACACCGTTACCGCTGTGGTCTCCTCTGCCACGCTGCGACTGCTCCATTGGTGAAGTTTCTAGCGAGGGGTTGTAACTGGGAATGGTGCTGCTGTCCGCAGATAAACCCGCAGGGATACTGGGGTAGGAAGACGCTGTCGTCCGGCTGTCCCCCACCCACATAAGGACAAGTTTACACTCTGTCCTTCCGGAGTTGGCAATGACCGCGTCCCGGAGCTCCAGACACTGAGAAGCTCAGCTGCCCCGAAAGCCTCTTACAGTCCCTGGGGGCTAAAGAAGTGCCCTGGTGCTCTGCGCGCCGCCTGAACCCGAGGCTGCAATACTAGGCTGCAGAGGTTACCCCGCCCACCGGTCTCCTGGCCAAAGGCTTAAGTCGGGGAAGGGCCGGGGGCGGAGATTGGGGACCTTCTAGGAGGAAGGGGGAGCAGGGGACTAGACACCATCCTGATGGGCTGCAAATGCACATTGTCCCAAAGAAACTGCTTTGTCTCACTTGCCTCCTTATGCGAGTATAGTTTTATAAAAATAGTTTCGCGTCCTCCTAAATTATTTTAAAATAGATTTGAAATTCGCCTTTCTCCAGTTCCTTGCTTCTCTAAGCAGGTTTGAAGATCTGGATTTTGAACGCTCTTTTTCTTTCTGTTTCCCAGATGAAGTCTTCATGACGATAACGTGACCAAAGTTAGTGAGAAAGCACAGCCTTAAAAGGCTGCCAAGTTGGTACTCTTTGGAAAGCGCGTTATTTTAAATGGGTCTTAGGACTGGGAGAAACTACGGATAAATAATTAAGGGAAAGAATTCACATTCATATTCTTTTCAGCGTTCTATTTATTTACACATGCAAATCTGAATAGTGTGTAGTATTGTTTGGAAACGTTGATGCTTAAAGTCATTAGGAATCCTTTCTTTGGAACTATTTATAAGCAATTGTGTTAAAGCTGTTTCAGAAATAATTCATATTTTTTTGTTAAGTATTGGGTAAGGTAATTTAGGTTATTCTTTAAATATGTTACCATAAAACTCATTCTTGAAATGCACACTTAATGTCTTTAATTGTAGGAAACGTTGATCTATTTTAAAACAGTAACATTGAGACCAGGGGGGAAAAATCATGTGGGTTTATTCTCAATGAAAAGGAGAACCTGCACTCTTTCAGTTATTTAAGTAACCAACTGCCTTGACAGGCAATTCATATTTTAGCCCTAAAATGGCATATTTTACCATTCCTTTGTACTCATATACAGGTTACACCTTACTAATCAATCTAGGATTTCTCTTGCCTGCCTACTCCAAATCAAAACCACTTATAGACAGCCAATCAGAGGGTTACCATCCTCCCTGAGCATTGGAACTACCTAGAGAACATTTAAAAGATAAAGATATTCCAACCCAAGATATTCTGATTCTTGAAGTGTAAGTCTTAAACTCTCAAGGTGGTAATTACACACAATCAGGGCTTAGAAATATCACTCTAAGAAATTCTAACCTGTGGAGTTTATAACACCCAAACTTTTTCATACTTTTTTGTCTTTGCCTGAGCCACACCTGCATAAAATTTAATGATTCTCTAACTATGAAACTCACATCCAACATATGAGAGATGAATTTTTAATGTTACATTAAAGTAAATGTACTGATACAAAAAAAAAAGTCATTCCCGTTTCTATTTTTTTTTTTTTAAGACCTCTTGGTTACATAAAGGAAAATGTTCAGCTTGGCAAAAGCATGTCTTTAAATATTTTTTGACTTGTTGATCATGCTTCTTGATGCACACACACAAAGCCTCCATAACTAAAGTGTTTATAATTTAGTGGTATTTTTCTGGTTTTATTCGATTATTACTACCTTGCAATTGTGGCAAATGACACTGGCTTCCAATCAACAAAGGGAAAATAACTTTAAGTAAATGTATCTCAACAAAATGTGAGCAATTTAAAAGAAAAATGAAGACTAACACAAATAAATGCACATATGCCAAGGGAGACATATACATGTGCATCCATTTCTGATTAAAACTCTCAGAAAACTAAGAATAGAACTTCCTCAACCTACAGCAAACAACATGATTAATTGTAGATGAATAGATGCTCTCTCCCTAAGATCAGAAACAATACAGGGTGTTCACGCTCACGATTTCAGAATTGTACTAAAAATGCTGGCCAATGCAACCAGGCAAGAAAAAATCTGTTAAGTATACTCAGATTAGGAAGGATGATATAAAAATCTTATTATCTATAGGTGATATAACCAAATGATAAAATTCACACACACACACTCACACACACAAATCCTATTAAAACTGAAGTGATTGATTTTTTTACAAGTTTGGAAGATATAAGTTCATTATAAAAGATGTATTTCTATAAGTTGAAATTAAATTAAATGATCAGAAATTTAGGAAACATACACAGTAACATGCAAAATATAAAATACTTAGGGCTATATTTAATGAAATACATGAAAAACAAAATAAAAAACTTTAATGACAAATGAAATTCTCAACAAAGGAAGAGAGAGATTATATTCATGGATCAGATAACTTAACATTGTTAAAAAGGCAATTACACCTAAATTGATAATTGATCTGTAGATTAATAAAACCTACAAAATTAAAATTCCAACAGCCTTTTTTATTTGGTAGAAATTATCAAACTCATTCTAAAATTTATATGATAATGCAAGAAAGAATCTTAGACTAGCCAGAAACTTCTTCAAAAAAGAATAAAGTCACAAGGCTAACATTACTTTATTTCAAAAATTATTGCAAAGTTACAGTCATCAAAATAGTGTAGTGCCAGGAGCAGTGGCATGTGACTGTAATCCCAGCACCTCCGGAGGCTGAGACAGGAGATTGTGAGTTCAAAGCCAGCCTCAGCAAAAGTGAGGCACTAAGTAATTCAGTGAGACCCTGTCTCTAAATAAAATACAAAACAGGGCTGAGGATGTGGCTCAGTGGTTGAGTGCCCCTGAGTTTAATCCTTGGCACAAAAAATAATAATAATAATAACAAAAAAAAAAAAACAGTGTAGTACTGGTTGAAAGATACACAGATCAACCAATGTGGCAGAATAGAAAGCTTACAAATAAACCCAAACATAAAAATACTAATTATAGGCAAATGTGCAAAGGCATTTCAGTACAAAAAGGATAGATTTTTTCCCCCACAAATTTTGCTAGAAAAATTTGACAACTATATAATTTTTTTTAACTTTGACCTATTGCATCACAGAAAATTTGGATCAAAATGGATCATAGACTTAAATTTAACCCATGAAACAATAAACAGTACACCATTATGACCTCAAATTATGCAAATATTTCTTAGACACAACCCTAAAAGTATGACACATAAAAAAAAGTGATTAACTGTACTTCATCACAATTAAATACTTCTTCTTAAAGACATTGTGATGAGAATGAGAAGACTCATCAGACTGAGGTAACATAATTGCAATACATACACACACCTGATAAAGAGCCTACATATAGAATATGTAAAGAATTTTCTTTTCTTTTTTTTTTTAATGTGGTGCTGAGGATCAAACCCAGGACCCAGCACATGCTAGGCGAGCATTCTACTGCTGAGCCACAATCCCAGCCCATGTAAAGAATTTTCAACACTCAGTAGGAATATTAACAATCTGTGTTGTTTTCCTAATGTGCAAAAGATTTTAATAAACACGTTGCCAAGGAAGATATATGGATGGAAAATCAACAAAAGATGCTGCACACCATTAGTCATTAGGGAAATAAAAATTAAACTTACCTCCAAATATCACAAAGTATCTGTTACAATGACTAAAATTAAAAAGATTGACCATACCAAGTATTGCCAAAATGCAGAGTAGCTCTCACTCTCATGAGAGTGAAAAATGCTTTTGAGTTGCTTTAAAAGTTTTTACTATATGATCCAGCCATTCATTCCTAGATATTTCCCTAAGAAAAAATAAAACAAGCTTTCCTATAGTTATAAACTAGAAAAATCCAAATGTCAATCAACAGATGAATAGATAAACAAATTGTGTATATCCATAGGATGAAATAATACTTAGTAATAAAAAGTACTACTGGTACATATCACTACATAAATGAGCCTAAAAATAATTATTCTGAGAGAAAGAAGTAAGACAAAAAAGAAATGTATATAGTATGATTTAATTTATATGAAATTGTAGAAACATATAGTAATAGAAAGTTTGCCATCAGTGAGTAGTTCCCTGGAACAAGTTGTGGAGGAACATGCAAAGATGGGCAAGTCAGATATCCATTCAACTTCATTTTTCCCATTGGCAAATGAAAACATTGTCATCCCCAAGGATGCTTTCAAGTCTGTGATTCATTTCATTTGTCAGGTCTAATCTGAAGTTATTTTTCTCTGATGCTCTCAACTTCTGGAGAATATCATTACTATTCGTTTAAGGCATCAGTCAAACATCTCTCATTACAGCTACCTAAACTTTAAGTTCAAGTAGCAATATCCTGACTTTTCTGGGAGAAATTGTCTCAACTTCACTTCCCCTTATCCTAGTTTAGCTCCTGCAATAAAGACCCCATTTAAGACAAAACATTCTATCTCCTCTTTTCTCTATGTACAATTTCTCTTTAAGCTCTCCTGATAATTTGCCAGAAGTCCTAAAAATAGTTGTTCCTCTGCAATCTATAATTGAATGTTAAAGCAATAACCTTATGATGTTTCTTTGATAATTGTTCATCTTCCAGATCACTTGCCAATTACTATTTTAACTTAGCAAAGATTTTAAGGCAAGGTATAGACAACACTGGGGGATGAAATTGGGCCTAGATAGAAAGAAAGTCAACCTGTGATACATAATTCGACAGGAAATGAGCTCAACACACCTAACAGGAACCTTTAAAAGAAAGATGGTAAAACACTCTTGGTTAACCTGTTGGTGAAGGAAAAGCAAAGTGTACAGGCTTAACAAAAGTTAACCCAAAATGGTTCAAGGAGCTTGATATCAAATTAGAGACTCTGCGTCTGATAGAAGAAAAAGTTGGCTCCGATCTACATATTGTGGGGTCGAGCTCCA